TTAAGCATCTGTCTTTAGTTCAGGTCACAATCCCGGGGTTCTGGGATCGAGCCCCGTTGTCAGGCTCCCTGCTCAGTGGGGAGCCTGCTTCTCCCTCTGCCTCTGCCCCTCCCTCTGCTCATGCTCTCTTACTCAAATAAATAAAATCTTTCAACAAATAAACCCCGCATATAAACCAGTATAGAAGATAACTTCCTTTAAAGAGTTCATAAAAATTATAAAACATAGAAGATATTCGTGTTACAAAATTCGGATGCCAAAAAATACATAAGAAATTATGTATTCGTGGTTGCACTTAAAAAAGAATAAAAGAAAATGTGTGTGTGCATGTGTGCGCACGCACAGAGTATACCTAACAAAACCCCAGGATGCCCAGAACTTAACGGACACTGAAATGTTTCCGAATAAACGTTAAATGTAGTCTAAGACAGCTTGAGTGAGACAGGAAAGATTGATAGAAAAAAATGCATTTGGGAAAGCGATTTACTGGGGGAAAAGGCATAGTTGAGCTATAAGAATGCTTTTTGGGCAGGTATGGAGAAAAGCATGAAGACAAGGAATTAAGTCAGACATTGCCAAGTGTTCTGTGTATTTTCTTTTTCTCTCTTGATCTTTTTCTTCCCATTCCCCATGAAACAATTATTATCTAGATATTTACATTTTATAGATGAGAAAACTGCAAGTTGGAAAGATTAAATCATCTGTTCCGGGCCAATGGCTAGTTAGGCTTAGAATAGAACCGAGGAGCATCTCACCTAAAGCCCATCTTCTTAGCTCTTCTGTAATGCCTCAGGAGAGCCTCACAGTTTTGTATTTATCACTCGAGTTTACTTGGCAAATCCTCAAGCCTTTGTTTATATGGTGAAATACCAGACCTCCTCACTTTGCTGATTTTATTGTGAGTATTCAGGTAGATTAATAAGTATATATATGTCTGAGGCGAAAGCCACGTGCTCTAGGACAGTGCTTCTTAAACTTTAATAGGCATGTGAGTCCCTTGGGCATCTTGTTAAAATGCAGATTCTGGGGGCACCTGGGTGGCCCAGATGGTTAAGCGTCTGCCTTCGGCTCAGGTCATGATCCCAGGGTCCTGGGATCGAGCCCCACATCGGGCTCCTGGCTCAGCAGGGAGCCTGCTTCTCCCTCTCCCTCTGCCTCTCTCCCTGCTCATGCTCTCTCTCTCTCTCTCTGTATCTCTGTCTCAAATGAATAAATCAAATCTTAAAAAAAAAATGCAGATTCTGATTTAATAATCTGGGTTGGGAGCCTGAGATTCCTTTCCAGCAAGCTCCCTGAACATACTAGTGTTGCCAGTTTCTGGACCACATTTCAGTAATAAAGCTCTTGAAAACATTGACTTTCTTCCCAGGTAGAGTTCTTTGGTGGGATCTTTTATTTTTTTATTTTTTAATATTTTATTTATTTATTCATGAGAGTCAGAGAGAGAGAGAGAGAGAGACGCAGAGGCAGAGGGAGAAGCAGGCTCTCCGCTTAGCAGGGAGCCCAATGCAGGACTCGATCCCAGGACCCCGGGATCATGACCTGAGCTGAAGGCAGACGCTTAACCGTCTGAGCCACCCAGGCGCCCTGGTGGGATCTTTTACTGGCCACTAAAACCTCTGGCTCTTCCCTTTTTAGGTGGCCCTGGGGTCCAGCTCTGCCTCACTGATGTATTGCCTATCCTGGCAAAGATGCTTCATGGCCACAAGGCAGAGCCCTTGCATCTGTGCCACCGGCTGGACAAGGAAACTACAGGGGTAATGGTGTTGGCCTGGGAGAGGGAAGTGGCACGTCAAGTCCAAGAGCTGTTTAGAACCCGTCAAGTGGCAAAGAAGTACTGGTATGGAGCCCATCGCTAGCAGTTGGTAGAACTGGTATAAATGAAGGCATCCTTTTATCTCTTCGTCCATTTGTATGGAAGGACCTCCTGTTAGGAGAGGGCACTGTGCTAGGACGTGTGGGCATGTGAAAAATACAGGAAACAGGTTTAAGTGCTTAGAATATTGGAGTCTGTAAAAAAAAAAAAAAAATATTGGAGTCTGATAGAATAGTGGCTCCTAATTGTGGTTGTACATAGAAATTATTGAAAACTAATTATACAAGTAGTACATGATTTCATTCCTGTGGTAAAATAGTCAAACAACAAAGATAAAGCAAAAAACTTGGAGAACCTACTCTGTCATTCTAGTCCCTTCCCTTGGGGTAGTTTGGTTTTTATTCCTCTGGTCCTTACTCAATGTATTTACGAATATGTCTGATACGTACTGGGTGTGTGTGCATTACATTGTACCCTGTACACTGTACTTTATTTAAAAAGATTTTATTTGACGGAGAGCGAGCACAAGCAGGGGGAGCGGCAGGCAGAGGGAGAGGGAGAAGCAAGCTCCCTGCTGATCAGAGAGCCCAATGTGGGGCTCCATCCCAGAACCCCCGGATCATGACCTGAACTGAAGACAGATGCTTAACCGACTGAGCCACCCAGGTGCCCCAACACTATACTTTCTTTTACCACTTAACTGTGTCTTGGAGATCTTTCCTTGTTAGTGCATGTAGGTTTACCTCCATTTTTTTAATAGAAGAAAGATACACAAACAAAACTGAAACCTACTCCTGTCCCCCATCTACTCAGTTTTCTTCCCCAGAGGCAATCACTATTCTACTGTCTTGTGTAAACTTCCAGGGTCATACAAGGCATGTATAAGTGAATTATTGTATGGCAATGTATTTTGCAGTGCTTTGCATCCTGCTTTTTTTCACTTGGACAATATATCTTGGAGAGCATTTTGCATGTACATTTAGGAGCTTTATAGTGTTCTGTTGTATGGTATATCATAACTTCCTGGGGGTGCCTGGGTGGCTCAGTCGGTTAAGCATCTGTCTTTAGTTCAGGTCACAATCCCGGGGTTCTGGGATCGAGCCCCGTTGTCAGGCTCCCTGCTCAGTGGGGAGCCTGCTTCTCCCCCTGCCTCTGCCCCTCCCTCTGCTCATGCTCTCTTTCTCACTCAAATAAATAAAATCTTTCAACAAACAAACCCCACATATAAACCAGTGTAGAAGATAATTTCCTTTAAAGAGTTCATAGAAATTATAAAACATAGAAGATATTCGTGTTACAAAATTCGGATGCCAAAAAATACATAAGAAATTATGTATTTGTGGTATGAACTTAAAAAAGAATAAAAGAAAATGTGTGTGTGCATGTGTGCGCACGCAGAGTATACCTAACAAAACCCCAGGATGCCCAGAACTTAATGGACACTGAAATGTTTCTGAATAAATGTTAATTGTAGTTGTCTAAGACAACTAAATATTGGGATATTTAGTTAACTTTCCATTTTTCAGAGTCTATTGCAAAGAATAGGTGATTATATCTTTAAGACAGATTCCTAAAAATGGAATTGCTAAGTTGAAGGGTACACACGTTTAATATTTGTTTTTTGTTGGGTGGTGATGGTGGGGTTTTGTTTTGTTTTGTTTTGTTTTTTAAGATTTATTTATTTGAGAGAAAGAGTGAGTGAGTGCGAGCATGAGCCAGGGAAGGGGCAGTGGGAGATGGAAAGGGAGAGAGAATCTCCAGCAGACTCCCAGCTGAGTGTGGAGCCTGACGTGGGGCTCCATCCCAGGACCCCAAGATCATGACCTGAGCTGAAATCGAGAGTCAGACACGTAACCGACTGAGCCACCCGGCTCCCCTCACACATTTAATATTTGAATAGTTAACTACTATTAGGTAGGCCAGGTTTTCTCCCACTAGAGTAGTGAGGACCCGCCTCCCCTTACAGCTGACCAACGCATTTTTTGGGTTTGCCACTATGATGACAAAAAAAAATATAAGAACTACTGTAATAAGAGATTACAGGTAATGGAAGAAGTTTAGCGTAGTAGCTAAGAGCTCAACAAGATCCGTGTTCACCTGTCAGCTGTGCTGTTTACCAGTGCGGGTCCTTAGGCACGTCATTAAACTTCTCTAAGCTTTGTCTTCATAGGAAGAATGAGAATAATGGGGTTGAGGAGAGAGTTAAATGAGACAATGCATATGAATTGTTTAACACGGTCCCTAGCTCCTAGTAAGAGCTGAAAGACTGAAAATTGAGACTATTATTATGTATCCTAGTAATCCAAATATAAGTCTATCATAAAGGGTTGAGGTGCCTGGGCGGCTCAGTCAGTTGAGCAGCTGACTCTTGATTTTGCCTCAGGTCATGATCTCATGGTTATGAGATCAAGCCCCACGTTGAGCTCCAGGATTCTCTCTCTCTCACTCTGCCCCTCCTCCTGCTTGCTCATGTGCACGTTCTCTCTCTCTCATGCTCTCTCTCTAGACTAAATCTTTTTTTTAAAAAAGATTTAAAAACACTTTTTTTTTTAAATTAAAGATCTTATTTATTTACTTGAGAGAGAGCACAGAGGGAGAGGGAGAAGCAGACTCCCTGTTGAGCAAGGAGCCTGATGCAGGGGGACTCGGTCCCAGGACGCCAGGATCATGATTGGAGCTGAAGGCAGACGCTTAACCAACTGAGCCACCCAGGCGCCCCTAGAATAAATCTTTTTTAAAAAGTGTTATATTATTTGTGAAAATTGTTTATGAAAGTTTAGACTCGGTAACCATTCGCAGTATCAGGCATCATGGAGGAACTGAAATCCGTTAATTGTGTGTTGATGAATGAATAGGATTTGATAGACAAGATGGAGAACTGTGTTATAGATTGTGGGAATGGCATTCACAAAGGAATAAAGCACACAGTCTAGTTTGGAGGGGGGAATGGTGACAGATAATGCTGGAAAGGTAGACTGGAACCTAGTTAATGATGGCCTTAAATACCAGGTGTAGGAAGTAGAAGTTCGAAGTAGAACATGGGAGGCAACTGATTAGCATTTGCTGGCTTACTGTGATAGCGACTTGTTACAGTTCTTTGTTTGAATCTTCTTACTACACTTTGAATTCCTTGAGAGTGGGATTTTTGTCTTGTTCATCTGTTCATCTGTACAGAACTAGTACCTACCTAAATCAATGCCTGTTTCTATTCATGGAGCATGTAGTGAGTGAACATTTTTGAGCAGTAGTGTTATGTCATTAGAAAGAGTGAGCTAGCAGTTAAAACTCAATTTAAGTATGAGAAAATATATCAGACAGCAGCCCAAACGGCTACCAACCTGAAGTGAGGTGTCCAGGCTGTGAATTGTTATATGAATGGGCTTTTGATCCCTCGGTCAGCGATTCTATGATAGGCCACCCAGGAGGACTCCTTTGTGATTGACCTGGAAGAGGCATAAGCGTAAGGACAGATTAAAGGGTCTTCTGCCTGCCTCAGACATGATGAAAGGACACCTCCAACAAAAGTGATCTGGAATGTTTATTGAGTTGTGGTGGTGGTTTCTGTGACTTTGAGCACAGTTCCCCCCATTTGTCTACCTGGCAAATCAGGCAGGTGCGGTCCTGTGAATTTTTCATTCCGTTCATTTATTTACTTCTTCATTCATTTCATACACAGTCAGGATTTAACCATCTTTTAAAAAACAGGATACAGGGGCGCCTGGGTGGCTCAGTCAGTTAAGCATCTGCCTTTGGCTCAGCTCATGATCCCAAGGTCCTGGGATTGAGTCCCGCATTGG